AGGACTGGATTTGTAGAAAAGTAGTTAACTACCAACACAGCAGCCAATATCGCCTCCCACCAGGGAAGGAATCTCACTCAGCCAGGAGGATCTGAGACATCTGCAGGAGGTCACTATTCCATCCTGCCTGTCTAGCTCCAAGGGAAAAGAAAGCTCCATCTGGGCTGGCCAGGGGCCAAAGCAGCCCACAAAGGTACTGTGCCTGGGTGCCAGCCTCGCCCTCAGCCCCCGCAATTCAGCCATCAGCTTCAAACACTGGGAAGATTGTACCAGGCCCTACAAGCCAGCAGTGACCCCCCAGAGACAGATTCCCAGGCTTTGGCTCCAGAGCTGGGCCTTAAGGGTCCCGGCAAGAACTACAACCTTCCATTCTCCCTCATGGGCAGGCAGCTCAAGACAGCTGCCTATGCCCGGCACAGACAGACCCAATGGGTACTGGCAAGGGGCCTGCTACCTGAGGAGCTTTAGTTGTAAGGAAAGAGGTTGTCACATGTTATGGAGTTTCAGCATCTCAAGAGGAATTGATCAAAGAAAACTACCTTGGTTCTGGATAAAAGGGGTTGATTAGAAACTGTACTGCTAACCTAGCCTACCTTAAGAGGCAAAAGGAAGGAAACTAATGTAGCTGGGGGCCGTACACTTTACACACTTTGAATCATCACAACACCCTCTGGGGTTTATTTTTCCTGTCTTACAGAGAAGGGAACTGAGGCTCAGAGAAGCAGAAGAGACTTTCCCAGGGACCTGCTGGCCAGTAACCAGTGAACCTCAGGGTTGAACCCAGGTCTCTATCAACTCAGACCTAAGCTTTCCCTCTCTGATATGTTGCCACATGCACTCAGATGAGAGGATTGTTCCAGTTATTTTATTTTATTTTATTTATTTTATTTTTTTGAGACAGAGTCTCACTTTGTTGCCCAGGCTAGAGTGAGTGCCGTGGCGTCAGCCTAGCTCACAGCAACCTCAAACTCCTGGGCTCAAGTGATCCTACTGCCTCAGCCTCCCAAGTAGCTGGGACTACAGGCATGCGCTACTATGCCCGGCTAATTTTTTCTATATATATTAGTTGGCCGATTAATCTCTTTCTATTTATAGTAGAGACGGGGTCTTGCTCTTGCTCAGGCTGGTTTGTTCCAGTTCTTTTAGACAACATAATGGAAGACCTCATTTTAAGATAGCAGAAAATACTTAGGCATAAGTTTATAGAGAAATATTTCAAAACTATAAAACACCCTGAAATACATCAAATACACTTGAACAATGGGAAGACATAAAGATTCAATAGTATAGTAATGGCAACTCTCTTTAAGTTAATTTATATGTAACATTACTCCAATAAAATAGACAATGATGATAAAATATATTTCAGAGCACAAATAAGCAAAAGTAGCCATAAAAATCCTGAAACAAGAGGAAAATAAAAAAGGGATACACATAGAAGATACTCCATCACTGGAGTACACGGTGGCTCACGCCTGTAATCCTAGCACTCTGGGAGGCTGAGGCGGGCGGATTGCTCGAGGTCAGGAGTTCGAAACCAGCCTGAGCAAGAGCGAGACCCCGTCTCTACTATAAATATAAAGAAATTAATTGGCCAACTAACATATATATAGAAAAAATGAGCCGGGCATGGTAGTGCATCCCTGTAGTCCCAGCTACTCGGGAGGCTGAGGCAGAAGGATTGCTTGAGCCCAGGAGTTTGAGGTTGCTGTGAGCTGGGCTGATGCCACGGCACTCACTCTAGCCTGGGCAACAAAGCGAGAATCTGTCTAAAAAAAAAAAGAAGAAGAAAATACTCCATCAATTTTGAATACCTTTTAGGAGTCTCTCAAGGGAATGAGAAAGGAGGAGGAAAGGAGTAGAGCAAAAAGCTCTGTCACTTCTACTTCTAAATTCTCAACTGTGTCACATTTCTCCATCCCCACTGCCACCTCCCCAGTCTCACTGGTCTCCATCCTCACCAGGCTTCATTCTCCTCCTCCCATCTCTGCTCTAACCATACCAGCTTCCTTTTAGTTTCTCAAATGTGGCAAGCTCCCTGTCATCTTAAGACCTCTGCACGTGTTTCTCTCTTCCTGGAATGACTATCATACCCTTCACCCGGTAACTTCAACTCCTCCTCCAGGTTTCAGCTTAAATGTCACCATCCCAGACATGCTGTCCTTGACTACCCAATCTAAAGTGAGTCTCCTCATTATCCTGCCACTCAGTACATTTTAATTTTCCTTTGTTGTCCTTATCACAGTTTGAAATTGTATATTTATATGCTTATTTATTAAACTTCTTTCTTCCCTATCAGACTATGAGCTCCATGAAGGCAGGGATGGGATCTACTTTGCTCACCACAATGTACCCAGAATCCATCTCTGGATCTAGCAAATAGTAAACACTTAATAAATATTTATTGAAGAAGTGAATGTATAAATAAAGAATTAGGTCATTGGAACTCTGCAACAGGGAGGAATCCCTTTCAAACACCTCTCTACCAGAACCAGAATAAAACAGACTCCATTTCCAACAGGAGATGGCCATCCTGTGTGTGTACAGAGGGGACACAAAGTCTCAGAAGCAAGTGAGTAGGGAAATGTGTGCTGCCTTCCATAGGTATCAAGATTCTATTTCTCCATCTCTGCAGATTCTCAGGCTAAGATGTTAACAGAGAATATTGAAACTGACAATGGGAATTGGGAATTACCCAACAACTTTCAAACTTGCCTACAAATAAGGATATGCTGAGATTGCCCTTGTGGCACCCTCCTCCACCTGCCTCAGCCACATAGCACAAATCATCACAACTTGGATGCCCTTTGCATGTTTCTTTTTAAAAGTTCTCAGAATATAGCAGGCACTTTGTTATTGTTTTTTCAAAGTACAGTAAAACCAACAACATGATGATGTGTGTGTGTATCTGAGAAAGAAACAAGCAGGTCAAAAAGACCACAAGGTATGGAGATGGGGTTCTTACCCAGCTTCTGTTTAGAGACTGGGACGACACACCTCTTGTGGCAGCCCAATGTGCAGCATTTCTTTTTTTTTTTTTTTTTTTTTTTTTTTTTGAGACAGAGTCTCGCTTTGTTGCCTAGGCTAGAGTGAGTGCCATGGCGTGAGCCTAGCTCACAGCAACCTCAATCTCCTGGCTCAAGCAATCCTTCTGCCTCAGCCTCCCAAGTAGCTGGGACTACAAGCATGCACCACCATGCCCGGCTAATTTTGTTTTTTATATATATATTAGTTGGCCAATTAATTTATTTCTATTTATAGTAGAGACGGGGTCTCGCTCTTGCTCAGGCTGGTTTCGAACTCCTGACCTCGAGCAATCCGCCCGCCTAGGCCTCCCAGAGAGCTAGGATTACAGGCGTGAGCCACCACACTCAGCCTGCAGTATTTCTTTATACCTGGACACGTCTCATCAGTAATGTACCTTTTAAAACAGGATTGTTTCTGAACAACCCTGGGACAATCTCCTTTCCTCCCTGTAGCAAAAAGGGAGATAGCCACAGAAAGGAGATAACAGTGCCCAGTGACACTGAAAGGCACAGCAGAAGGGGAAAACAGGATGGAAGCCCTGAGTTTCATTTAAGCCTGTCAACCCTGGTGCCAAAGCAAACAGACAATAACAACAACAATAGCCAACATTTACTGCAACATTTACTGGTGTTTACTTGGTGCCAGGAACATATCATTTGATCCTCATAATTATCCCCATATTACAGATGAGGAAACTGAAGCTAAAAATTTAAAAAGAGATTTTTAAGGCTTATTGAAGGCTTAAAAAGGTCTGCCTGGCTCTAGGGTCTACCACTCTTAATCACTATCTTAAATAGGTTTCCCTTCACAACTCTGCCCCCTAGCCTTCACAGGAACTTTGAGCCCAAAGTAAAAGATAATCAGTGGTGTGTTATTTCCTGATAGAAGGCAAAGAACTGGGGGCATTGGATGATTAAAGGAGGAGGGACCACAAAAGGGGAAAGAAGATGTGCTGTCGGTAAGCAAGATTTCAAGAGCCAAAGTAGGGCCAGCAGGTGGCTCCCGCCTGTAATCCTAGCACTCTGGGAGGCCAAGGCGGGCAGATTGCTTGAGGTCAGGAGTTCAAAACCAGCCTGAGCAAGAGCAAGACCCCAAATAGAAAGAAATTAATTGGCCAACTAATATATATAGAAAATATTAGCTGGGCATGGTGGTGCATGCCTGTAGTCCCAGCTACTTGGGAGGCTGAGGTAAGAGATTGCTTGAGCCCAGGAGTTTGAGGTTGCTGTGAGCTAGGCTGACACCACAGCACTCACTCTAGCCTGTGCAAAAAGAGCCAAACTAGGAGGTAGGAAACTCTCTGGTTCTATGTATCCCAGAGGCAAGGTCAGAGAGTACACTAGGATTTTGCCCCTCAAGTCAACATGCCCTTAGGAATGTCTCCTCGACAGACCTGACCATAGCCTGTGGTGCAGCACTTCTGCCCAGATGGACATGATGCATCACCCTGGCACAGCTCTTTGCATGAGTACTTATCAGGAGGGCGTTCTCCCTCTTTCACTGCAAAAGATAGCCTGTGATCTTGGGGTAGCTGGTCAAGCCTCAGGAAATGAGGAATGGAGGCCAAATGTACTTTAAGGACCTTCAGCCCTTCCAAACATTCCTATCAAAATATCTCTGCAACCACCTTCCCCTCCTACCACAAAACTACTAACACATATCTACACTACTAAAGAACTAGTCCTTCTGCAGATAAAGAGAGAGAGAAGAGTTAGGGTAATATTATTCTTATTTAAGGAGCTCTAGGGAAAAGCTAGAACCTCTAGTAAACCCAGCTGGAAGTCCTATCTCCTTGTCTAAAGAGGGTAAAGAAGGACCTACCCTGGATGTCCTGAGATTCTATTCATCTGGTCCTATCCCACAGAGATATATCTCTACAAATGAACAACCTCGCTCCGGGAGAAGGCAGGTGATGACTTCTCCTCTAGTCACTTTCAGTTACCCTTAGCCACTGACCCCAAATGACAGCTCACCATGTTCTCCTGCTGTTGCCCAGGATGCCAGGGACCCAAGAGCAAGAAATGCCTTCAGAAGGAAGAGGCAGCTTAACATCATGATGATGCTGAGAATTGAGATGAGAGTACAGGTCAAGCCAGAGATGTACACCTTGCCCAGTGTATCAACCAAGGGAAAAGGCAGGTCTGGGGATTGCCCTAAACCCAGTCCCAAAGTCTCCCCTTCCACAAGATTCCCCAAGAATGTCTTCTTCTAAGAAGAGTGATTGGCTGCTGGGGTGTGGGAAAATTCCTAGCACTACCAAAGGGCACATGTGATGGGGTGATCAAACTATGTAATGGAATATATACAACACTCCTGGACAATAATGAGGAACCTGTTGGGTAGCTGGGAAAATGGGGGAATGGCCATTGGACAAAGGATCAAAAAGAGCCCTAAAGGGTGTTGGAAGGAGATAGCGCAGCCAAAGTGACAGAGGGAAGGACTAGATAAATGTTTTAAAAAGAAAATAGCCAATAAAATAACAAAAACATAATAATATCATGGCTCCTGTTCATCCTAGCAACCTAGAAAAGACAGAATGGAACAGACCACTTACAAACTATCAAAAAAAAAAAAAAAAGAACACAGAAAAGTTGTATTTGACTTTGTTCAAAACTAATACAAATGCACCAAAAACCTACATCTTGGTGCCTCTAGCCCACACAGGCCATTCTTTGAATAGCTAGTTGACAGAATCCAAGACAACAGTTGCAATGACTCAAATAGTCTTGCCTATATATATGCTTGTTTGCTTGCTTGCTTTTCTGTTTCTTATTTTTATCTATCCTGTTCATGTCTTTAGTCAGCTGTGTCCAGTGGTGTCTGTTGGCACTGCTTAGCCCTGTGGAGTTAAATAGCAGGAAATATTCAAGGCAAAAGGTAAAAACCTCCTTTATAGAGCCAAAGAGTTTGATGCCAAGAAGTTGCCCTTACTGTTATAAGGCTGACGTTGGAGAATGGAGATGATTAACGTTTGCTGATGACCTAATATGTGCTTTATACACATTATTTATTTAAATCCTCACGATAATCTTGCAGAGGTAAGAAAACTAATTCGGGGGCTGAGAAAGTGTCCATAAGTGGTGGCCACTGGAATTTCGTAATAGTAAGGACAAACAGTAACATTTGAGAGTTTACTGGTGCCACTGTTTTAAGCACTTTACATGAATTAACTCACTTAATCTTCACTGCAACCCTATAAGCTAGGTGCTATTATCACCATTTTACAGTTGGGGAAACTGAGGCACAGAAAGTTTAAGAAACTGTGTTACACAGCTAAGTGGTAAAACAAAGGCAAGCAGTCCATTTCCACAGCCAATGTTCTTAACCACCATACCATACCATATTTGAACCCAGATCTTTCTAACTGCAAGACTCATGAACTTTCTACTACTCCATATTGTGACCTGGTACGAGTAACGTTCTCTATCACCCACAAATGGATCCAGTTCTATTCAGGGATGTCTTACCTCTGAGACAGAGCTAAGGGGACCTTTGGGGAACTTCACAGCTGTTAAGTCCCTGCACCTCCCAGCCCATCCCAGAATCACCCGTCTGGGGAGAGAGGCTCAGCTCCCTGAAGCTGAGAAGGTCTGCCATCAAGACCCAACCTTCATTCTGATGCCTTCAGACATAAGAGGCAGCCCCCGGGGTCCAAACCTGGAGAGACCTGGTGGATGAGTGTTTGGGATGGCTCGAACCAGACCCCCGCCCCCCATCCTTGTTGGGTTTCCCAATCCCGGCATCAGGCCCGCTCCAATTCTGGGAGCTGAGTGCTGGGCATATTAAAATCTACAGTTTTCAAAGACTGAACTACTGTATTGGTACTACTGTACAAAACGCTCTCCTCTGCTCCCCAAGCCCAGCCTGTGGAAACCTGCTCCCCTGCTCCTACCCCACACTTATCCACCGGCCTTGGTCCAGCCGGGAACCGCCCTTGACTGAACCGCCACTGAAAGCCCACACCACACCGAGGCACAGCCCTTGCTGGAGGACTGAACTACCTCCATATAGAGCGGACCCGGCCAAAGGCGGCGGTTCGGTTCCCATGGCAACCCCGCAGTGCTCAGCGTTGCGCTTCCGGGCCGGCAGGCGGCGCGCTCCAATGACGTCACGGCGTCGCTTTCCGGCCGGTGGCAAAGTCCGGCTGAAGTTGTGGGAGCCCAGGGCGCCATGGGGGCCACTGGCGACGCCGAGCAGCCTCGGGGACCCGTCGGGGCGGAGCGGGGCGGCCTCGAGCTGGGGGATGCGGGCGCAGCAGGGCAGCTGGTTCTCACGGTGAGGGCGCCTTCGGTGAGGCCTGGGCTCGGGCCGGCGGGGCCTCGGGCTCCCGGGACCCTGGCCCGCGGGCGTGAGAACGCGGAGGCTGGTACTGCCCAGGAGGTTGGCGTTTTCGCCGTCCGACGACCTGGGTTCAAATTCTGGTGCCACCCTCCTAGCTAGGTGACGTGGGCCAGTTCTGTCAACCCCCTGAGCTCCGGGCTCCTCTTCTGTAAAGTGGAGATAATTAGTACCAGCCTCATGAAGTTGTTGTGTGGATGGGATGATAAAGCGCCCACCCAGCGCATCACCTGCCACTGAGTAGACTCTTAGTAGACACCGATTCCTTTACTCCTGCCGTTCCAGAAAAGGTGGGGTTGGGATTTTTGAGGCAGGAAACTTCCTCAGTTCTTCATCCTTGGCAGGGCCTTCCAACCGCTCTCCTCCCACCTACCCCAAGGTGGGAAGTGGTGAAAGGATCTGAAAAGCAGGGATGCCTAGGTTTAACTTCATACCCACCCTCCATCTCCACCCCACTCTAGTGTCACAGGCCCCAGTGATATTTACTCCCTTGGTCCCCACAGAACCCTTGGAATATAATGATAAAGCACAGGCAGGTGCAGCGAAGGGGACGCCGCTCACAGATGACAACAAGGTAAGTCTGGCCCTGGGTGGGACTTATATCCTGGGCACTGGCTTTGGTATCCCTACTGTACAAGGCTGAGGAGATCTACAGCCTAGAAAGAGCACAGGAGTGACGAGGTTCAGCTTATGTAACTTTTAATGTGTGACCTTGAGCAAGTCACTTCCCCCTCTGAGCTCTTGTACAAAATAGGGAGGGAAGGTAGAGATAGATAGGTTGTGGACTAAACAGTAAGTACCTAAGATCGCTAACATTCACTGGCTCTGTGGTTGAGAGCTCTAAAGAGATCAGTTAGCATCGGAAGTTAAGAGCGAAAGCTCTGGAGTCTGACAACTGTGTTCTAAAGCAGACTCTGACATTTATTAACTGGTGACTTTGGAAAAACCTCTTAACCTTTCTGTGCCTCTATTCTCCACTATAAAGTGGGACTAATAGTAGTATCCATCTCAGGGAAGGGAGAGAGCACAAGATGGGCCTTTGGGATGCTTTTGTATTTTTTGACCTGGTTAGTGATCAAAGGGATATTCACTATAATTATTTGTTCAAGTATATAGACTTTTCTGTATAAATATTATATTTCATAAAACACTTTGAAAATAATACCCACTTCATAGAGTTATTATGAAGATACAGTAAAGGCATGCATCACTATGATTTGCACAAACTCTGAGCATATAGTTAGTTTCCAATAAAAGCTGTCTAGTATTGTTGTTAAAGGATTCTATGTCAATAATTGTCTGGACATACTGGGAAACAATATTTTGGGGACATGCCCCCTGACTCTGTCTTCCTCCTAAATGCAGTTTCACAGATCCTGCTATCTCCATGGATCTCCTCCGAGCTGTCCTGCAGCCTAGCATCAATGAAGAGATCCAGACTGTCTTCAACAAGTACATGAAGGTGAGAGGGACACAGGATAAAAACTAACAGGGAAAAAGACTCATGGGTAGCCCAGTGTGCTTCCCTCTTCCCTACATCACCAATATCTATCTATCTGTCTCGCTCTCGTGGATATCTAAAGTTTTCCAATTCTGAATCCCCCAAGAACTTTTTCTCCTCTTTGGGGGTAATTTGAATACCTTTTTTGCTGAGCTGTTGTGAGGATAGAGTGACTTAAATATACTATGTTTGAAATGTAACTAAGTTTTTTTATTACTTGCTTAATAATATCACCATTATTTTTACTTAAAAATTCTTTTGAGCCTTAAGTAAACCTCTACATAGCTCTACCTGAATGTCCCATGCATGTTTCAAACTCAGCGTATTCAGAACTGAATTCTGTTTTTCCTCCTAAACCTGCTCCTGTCATATTTATTCATTTCTTCAATATGTATTTCTTGAGTGACTACCATACTGCCAGGCATTATTCTAGGTGCTGGGGATATAGCACTGAACAAAACAGATGCTCTCTTTAAACAAATATGTACTATGTTAGGGAATAAGAGAAGAGAAGGAGCAGACAGTGACCAGTAGAGAGTAGAGTTGCTATTTTATATTTTGTGGCTAGGAAAGCCCTCTGATAAGAGGACGTTTCAGTGGAGACTCAACTAAAGTGAAGGAAGAGCAAGCCATGCAGAGAATGTGGGGGAAAAGCAGTCCAAGCACAGGGAAAAAGGCAGAAGCTCTAGTCAGGAGTATGCTTGTCACATTCAAAGTAAGAAATTGTCCAATGTGACTAAAGCAAAAGGAGCCGGGAGAGTAATGGAAGAGGTGGTCAAAGAGGTAACAGGGGCCCAGCTCATACAGAACCTTTGAAGCCATGGTAAGGACTTCAGATTTTACTGTGAGTGAAATAAAGGCTCTTGAAGTTTTGAGCAGAGCATATGATCTGAACATTTTAACCACTTCGGTACCGCGCTCACAGGCTGCGAAACCTTGCCCAAGCCGGCACTCATAGTCCACACGATAATTCGTGCTGTGCATTGACGACGAATCCGTTTGCTCTTGGGTGATGAGGAAAGCTTTAAAGCACTGAAAGCTTGTTTTACTTTACAAGCAGCTTTACTTGTATTGTAAATCAGAATAGGTAACACATACATATATGTTTTTATTACGTTATTTTTAAATGTTCACAATTTTATTTTGATAAATGAAAAATTAGAAAAGTCAATTCATAATTAAAGTCAATGTTCGGCTGTGCGCCTTCATATCACGGCTGTCAGCTACAGTCAATGCTCGGCTGTGCGAGTTCATCTGTGGCTATCCACTATAGCCGACACTAGTACCGAAGTGGTTAAAGGATTGGTCTGACTGTTGTGTAGAGAAGGGACTATGGAAGACAAGAGTTGAAACAAGAGGACCAGTTAGGAGGCTTCCTGAAATAGTCCCAGCCAGAGATGATAGTGGCCCGGGTGTTTGCAGTAAAGATATTGGGTAAGAGTTAGAACATGTATTTATTTTAAAAGTAGCAACAGGGGCCAGGCATCATGTCTCACACCTGTAATCCTAGCACTCTGGGAGGCCGAGGCGAGCGAATTGCTCAAGATCAGGAGTTCGAAACCAGCCTGAGCAAGATCAAGACCCCATCTCTACTAAAAAAAGAAAGAAATTAATTGGCCAACTAAAAATATATAGAAAAAATTAGCCAGGCATGGTGGTGCATGCCTGTAGTCCCAGCTACTCGGGAGGCTGAGGCAGTAGGATTGCAACTTCAAACTCCTGGGCTCAAGAGATACTCCTGCCTCAGCCTTCCAAGTAGCTGGGACTACAGGCATATGCCATGATGCCTGGCTAATTTGTCTATTCTTAGTAGAGACAGGGTCTCACTCTTCCTCAGGCTGGTCTGGAACTCCTGAGCTCAAGGAATCCTCCCGCCTCAGCCTCCCAGAGTGCTAGGATTACAGGTGTGAGCCACTGAGTCTGGCCATCCCTAAGTGAATTCCCATTGTCTTCAGGGTAAAATCCCAATTCCTTAACATGGCATATATGGCCCACTGTGATAAGACTCAGCCATATTTCCTTGTTACCCTGGTTTTTACTACCCCTAATTTTTGTACATCCGAGAGTGTACTATGATTTCTCACACATCTACACCTTTACATATGCAGAAATAAAGAGGAATGGCCACTAGGAAAAGGGTAGGCCAGGATTGTCTGCCTCCAAAGCCCTTGTTGCTTCCCAATCATGGATACCATGATTAAGGAAATTTCTCTCGGACAAATACTAGAGAAACACAATTTGTGGCTCTGGGGTCCCCTCTCATATAGTTTATGAAGATACCTTCTTATCACACTTGTTTTCTGAGAAGATACAAATGACTTGATTGTGCCACAACTTCAGAAAAGTTCACACTCTTGAGTGACCTCATCTGATCACTTTAACAATGTTTCCAAATCTCAGGTACCCATTTTCTTTAAAATTTTTAGAATAATAATAGACTCTAGACAATAGGTATTAAATGTTATTGAATAGTGCTTTTAACGTTTCTATATAGGGAGATATTAGGAAAAAACACAGATGCTTTTAAAAATAAAAGCCAAAAATCACTAAAGCTCCCTCTCAGAGATACCGAACTATTAACAGTGGCTGTGTAGTCTCCCAGCTTTGCGTGAGTGTGTGTGTATGTGCACATACATATATTTTTTTTTAAGTATAATTTTACACACACTGTTCTACAGCATGATTTATTTCATTTAATTTTTGGTCACGTTTCTAGGTCAGTACTTAATACCTCACCCTGATTATATTGTAATAGTTTTAGAGTGTTCTATTTTATGGATGCACCATAACTTAATTGGAACATTCAGATTATTTCTAGGTTTTCTCTTTTACAAACAATACTTCAGTGAACACTCTGAATGTACACCTTTGTTCACTTGTGAGAGTATTTGTAGGGGATAAATTTTTAGAAATAGAATTAGTGGGTAAAGAGAAAACATTTTTCTTTCCCTCAAAAAAATTGCTCTCTGAAAAGGTTGTGCCATTTTGCATTTCTACCAACAGTGTTTTAGAAGGTCTCATTCGTGATCTGATTTCATTCTCAGATCCAGAAATAGCTTACACTCATCTACGTATATCCCTTATGCTGCCCACCTCACAGGCTGGTTGTAAAATATCCAAATTATTATTATTTTTTTTTTTTTTAAGACAGAGTCTCGCTTTGTTGCCCAGGCTAGAGTGAGTGCTGTGGCATCAGCCTAGCTCACAG